TGGTCTTAACCTTCTAAGTACTAGAAGTCAAAAATCACACACATGAGAATCCAAGAAGAACAAAGAAGTTGTTATAAATTTTATATGGGTGGGCTCCATCACTAGTCCTCTAGAACAATCTAGGAAAGTCCTATGACTTGATCCTAGACTTCTAGAGAAGAAATAGAGCTCACCAAAAATGAGATTAACACATCACTATAACTATTTGGTCCTTTTTGGGAAAGGAATAATATGACATATCACGTAGTATCACTCATTTCTTCTTCCAAATGTCAACAGTGCTCTCGATGACACCTCGTAAAGAAGGATGTCTTCTGCTAAACATCTCTTTTCTGCCACGTGTAACGTTGTTGGCTCACTCAAAATTAGGCATATGATATCTTGTATCAGAAAATGGTTTCAAATACCATCGCTGCAATGGATAAACAACACCGACCAAATAATATTTGCCTAGAATGTACTGCAGGTTCAATAAAATGTTTAAAGTGAATAACCAAAGAAGTAGAGGCTACAATATACCGTGCAGAGGGTGTATAAAGTTTTATTTAGGATTCTGCATACCATTCTTAGAAATTCTACTTTCATATGCACTACCCTTTCAACAGGGCATGACGAAAGTAAAACACGTGTTAAAATCACATACAATCATGAATTTCTGCTTAGGGGCTCCACAACATTTTATAAATGCAATCTTTTCCTCATTTTTAACTCTCGCATCAACGTGGGTACCATTTATTGCTCCAATGCAATCCCACACAGATAAATTTGACTTATTAATGTATGTTAGTCATATTTAAAATTGAATACTATAAATTGTAAATGCTACTTTAAAGAACACATGTAAAGTTCATTGCGTTAAATCTCCGTAGAAGATCGTGTGAACGTTGGATCAGTTGGTTTTATGACTTGTGTAGATAAACCACATGTGCAATCAGACCTGCAGAGAAGTACATGTTGATCGTCTCAGATGAGTGTTGGAATCATTCCACTACACCACGAATTGACTCGTTTTGAGAAATATGTAGAGTGTCATTGCCAACACCTCACGTTGGGTCGTCCTCGATGACCCATGAAGACCATGAGGTCCACCAAATTCTACTAGAAGATTTATAAATACCTCTTACCTCATGCAAAACATGTTGTTGAATATGGTTGGATGCCCAACAAGCAATTCCCCATCCCATAAGACAGTGTGAAGCATATAGAGTTGTCAACGTATGTGTTGTAACACTCAACAATCAAGGAGATTGTTGCATTTCTTCGTCTCCGTCTTTCTTGTTTTGAATTCAAGTTGGTGTATATTGTACTAGTGTTAAGAGAAAAAAATATGGAATTAATAAACCACGAAGAAATCATGTACCAATCATTTATAATAGATAAAAATGACGTCTTATGAATATCAAATAAACATATCATAAGAAAATCTAATAAAGAGGTAAAAAGTCCCAAACAACAACAAATGAAATTAAATAGTGTCCCAGTGAATATCAAATAATAAAAAGTTTCCTCAAGTTCCCCTACGAGCATAAAAATGTTGTAGATAGGCCACTCATTTTTCTTTTGGCAATCGTTGTAAAAAATCCTCTGTGAACTGAATCTCGAAGAAGCTCTACTACAAAAAAATATAGCTCAAAATCCTCTGAAATTTCCTCATCTTCTTCCAAAATTTGCACAACCTGCTTAATAGAAGTTGCCTGAACTGTATGCGAGGCCTTGTTGGAAGTTTCTACCAGACGTGATATCTAGTTTCGGAGGTAAGCAGTTCTACCCTTTTTTCTACCCTCTAAACAAGCACACTTAGAACAGTTGGTGGACTGGATTTCGGGGAGTTCCGGGTTATGGAGATCTGGTGTATCACCTGATAAGTTGATGACCACATTTTCATGGCTTCCAAAAACAATGTGTCACTTGGAACACATGAATATTTGTCTGTTGCGACGACACCCCCAAACATCCGATATAACTTCTCATCGAACTCGGGGTCAATTTCACAAAGTTTGAACTTTTCGTTGTGGGCACCACCTATAAAATCATATTAAACACTTCAATTAGCATTAAAAAATAAAATGAATCAAATTAAACGAAATGAAAAATTGCTCACCGCAAGTCATTTTGTCCACCACTCCTCCAAAGAATCAATGGTTCGCTTCACTGGATCCCAACCCAGGTTTGTTGATTCTCGTTTCAAATCTTTCCAAATTTTCAATTCTTCTTGAGTTGATCCTACTTGTTCTTCATTTGGATATTTTCATACACCATGTTTGTACTTTCTTTGAAATTTGTTATAATATGTTGCCATGTTTTCTTATTGAAATAGATCGTAGGTCTATTTCTCAGTTCAATCTCCTTAAGACAAAGACCAAAAAATAACATTTTTGTGTGTTTTACCCACAATATCGGTGTTCCACTCTCTTTGATCTTATTAGCCATTGTATTGCTAAAATAAGACAGATTATTGTAACAAATCAATAAAAGAAGCAGTAAAAAGAAAATTATCTGCAATGTGTGAAATTGAATTTTTCACGAGTGGAAGAATATTTTGTCATTCCCCCTGCCACATCCCCTCACAGTCGCACCCATAACACCATGCCATATAACACAATAGCGACATCCAAAACCCCAAGCCACAAGAACAACCCATAACCCCAACCCAAATCCACCCATAACACCAAGCAACGGCCACATCAACCCCAAGTCATACACATCCACACCATGTCACATTACTCCATAGCCGCAGCCACATCCACACCAATCCACCAACACCCATAACCCCAAACCCGAGCCAGACCCAAAACAACAAGCCACGACCACATCCACCCCAACACACGTCACATAACACCCTAAACCCATAATACCATGCCAAATAACCCCAAACTCGAGCCAGACCCAAAACAACAAGCCACGATAACATCCACCACAAGCACTTCCATCCCAACACATGCCACATAGCACCCTAAACCCATAATACCATGCCACATAGCCCCAAACCCAAGCCAGAACTAGAAACAAGCCACGACCACATCCACCCTAAGCCACTTCCACACCAACATGTCGCATAACATCCTAAACTATAGCACCATGCCACATAACCCCAAACCCAAGGCACTCCCAAAACAACATGCCACGATCACATCCACCCCAAGCCATGCAACATAACACCATGCCACACCCATAACACCATGTCAAATACCATAAAACAAAAGCAACACCCAGAATAACAAGCCACAACCAAATCTACCCCAAGCCACTTCCACACCAGCACATGCCACATAACACCCTAAACCCATAACACCATGCCACATAACTCCAAACTCGAGCCACATCCAAAACAAAATGCTATGACCACATCCACCCCAAGCCATTTCCACCCAAACATATGCCACATAACACCATGTCACACCCATAAAACCAGACCACACAAAACAAAAAGCAACACCCATAATAACAAGCCACAATCGCATCCACCCCAAGTCACTTCCACACCAAGAACAACAAGCCACAACCACATCCACCCCAAGTCACTTCCACACCAACACATGCCACATAACACCCTACACCCATAGCATCATGCCACATAACTCCAAAACCGAGCAACACCAAGAACAATAAGCCACGACCACATCCACCCCAAGCCATTTCCAGCCCACCATATGCCACATAACACCATGCCACACCCATAACACCATGTTAAATGACACAAAACAAAAAGAAACACCCAGAACAACAAGTCACAGCCAGATCCAAACCAAGCTACTTCCACACCAATACATGCTACATAACACCCTACACCCATAACACCATGTCACATAACCCCAAACCCGAGCCACACCCAGATAACAAGCCCACAACCATATCTACCTAAGCCATTTCCACCCCAACATATGCCACATAACACCATGCCACACCCATAACACCATGCTAACCCGCCAAAGTCAAACCCACTCAAAACTAGCCAATGTAGAAACCGACAGAACCAACAGAACCAAGCATTCACGTTGAACCAACAGAACCAAGCATTCACGTTGAACCAATAAAACCAATTAGTACCGTGCCAACCAACAGAGCTAACATAACTAACAACACATAACACCATACCACCAACATAAACCAACAGAACCAACAGAACCAAAACCACTTAAAGCAATGCCAATTCATGTTTTGTATTGTTGGATCCTCATACATGGTGCTATCAAATTGTTGTTAGATTGCTGTCATCCCCAATCCATGAACGAAAATTATTATTTTTTTGTTTCATACAGCTAACCAAAACAGAAATCAAGCCACCAAAAATCAAATCTCTACATCCAAGCCACCAAATTTTTTTTGTTCACAGAGCTAACCAAACAAGAAATCATAGTATTCACATCGAAGCCATATAAGTCATTCACATATATTCCAGTAAAAGAGCTATTCACATTCGCACAGAGGAGGAATGTGACGAACCAAACCAAAAGTAGGAAATCAAGACATTCACATATTGTGTAATAACAGAGGAGGAAGATGACGAATCAACAAGTGTGAGATGCGTCTGGGAAGAGGAAGGAGGGGAGGGTGGGGGAAGATCACACCTTTCTTATGAAAGAGCCGAAGGAGGTAGGAAGAGATTATGATGGAATTGAAACAAAATAGGAGCGGACGAGGAAAAAGCAGAATTGAGAAAGAGGACCGAGAGGTCAAACCCGCGAACGACGTTTACCCAAAATCGCACATCATCCCCTCTGCCCCAAACTGGGCCGAAACCTCACAAGAAAGCTTCTCTCCCGGCCCAGCAAATGAAATCGACGTTTACCCAAAATCGCACATTACCGCGGCTGCCCCCACCACCCTAAACACTGCAAACTTGCGATCCCCTCTGCCCCAAACTGGGCCGAAACCACACAAGAAAGCTTCTCTCCCGGCCCAGCAAATGAAAGAACAAAATCTAGCTCTGCTCGGTTTAAGCACATTCGACGGTTAAGATTGCCCTTGGGGGCCAGCTCTAATTCATCGGTGTGTGTGTGCCCATCGATATAAAGTCGGATCTAACCAGTCATCTTCGTCAGAGCTCCTTGGTTGCTCCCAATCTCGAAGTAACCCTAGAAGATAGCCGTCGCTACTCGAATTGAAATGGCATGGCTCTATTCTACCATTTCTCGATTTATAATTTATTCAGATTTTCTTCGATTTAGTTTTGAGATTATTGTTACGAACATTGCAGGCTCCGAAGAGAGGAGGTAAGGCACCGGTCGCGGGGAAAAAGAAGACGGTAGATTTCGTTCTTGTCGCATTTTTTTGGGTATTGCTTTGGTGATTTTTGGCGTTATTAATGCATGATGGATTGCAGGAGAAGGTTGTGAATCCGTTATTTGAGAAGAGGCCGAAGCAGTTCGGGATTGGAGGTGCTCTACCTCCGAAGAGGGATTTACATCGTTTTGTCAAATGGCCTAAGGTGGTAAGAATTCAGAGGCAGAGGAGGATTCTTAAGCAGCGTCTGAAGGTTCCGCCAGCTATTAACCAGTTCACCAGGACCTTGGACAAGAATCTTGGTAACCATTTTCATCCTCTTTTTTAATAAAATTAATGCTGTAATTGTTCTGTCTGCTTCATGTGGAGGGGCTCTTCTAGTGAGTTTAATCATACTTCATATGTTATTATTTGTGCTATTATTAGTCAATCAATTTCTGCTTCAAAATCTTTAGGTGTCAATGTGATAATTTTTGTCTGATATGTACTAAAAAGGCATCGTTTTAAGTATTGGAAGTAACCTCTAGCAACAACCTGTAGGAAAGAACAAAAATTAGGATTCATGAAGTCATTCCCAAATAGTTGGTATAGGGCTAATGACGATGATATAATATTTGGACATGACCCAGTGTCAATTGAAAAAAGATTTAAGTTGGTTATTTGGTAATTCTGAGTTCCAGTTCTGGTTAGCATGGTCATCTAAAGAAGATTCTGTATAAGTTCTTGAACATTGTTTAACGGGCTTTGTCTACAGAGAAAAATAATTTTTTTTGGTTGTTATGTATGGTTAGTATGCAGGAGCTGTAGATATTGTTCTCTCTGTTCAAACTGATGAGGTTACAAGGTTTGACTGTGAGGATTCAGACTTCAGTTTTTTGCATTCTGATTTTAGTTTGAACCTAATGAATGGACTTAGCCTTTTTGATAGAATGTTTTCCTTAAAAAAGAGTTTTATGAGTTATGAGCAGGTTAGAAGTTTTCCTTTGTGACCATTCTGGTTCCGTCATGCCACTTCAAGAGCAAATGTCTATTGAGAAGTGTACTATTGATAATTTAATACTATTATTTATTTTTCTCATTAAATTAAATATTGTCCAATTTTTTATCAGGAATAAATTAATAGCAATTCTACACAACAGGATAATTTGTCCAAATTTTGTAGGAAATGGAACAAGTCGCTCCTATAGGGTGCTAGTTTGCATATTATTATTTTTTATTGTAATTACTCATTAACCATGCAAATTGTATCGTTACTATTTTGGGTATAGTTTTTTTGCTTTGAAAGTATATTGTGCAATGTAATACCTAAATTTTTTTTGCATTGCAAGTTGGAAGTGCTACTCATTTAGATTTTTAGAGTAGAACTTCCTATCTTAATTATTATGCTTCACGATCAATTAGAATTTTTCTTTTTTTATGAACACATGGGCAACATTTAATTACAATATGAAAAAATCTTATATTATCTTTTCCTTGATTGAAAAATTCATTCATTTCCAATTTGAAATAGTTTCAAGAATAAATTTGATAACCATTAAAAACCAAATAAATTACAAAATAGCTCATATATAGGTTGTAAGTTCTATTTTGGGTGCATTACTACCTCATAGTTCTATATTACTAATCAGATAGATATGATCATCAACAGTCATATCCTGGTAATTATTGAATCTTAAGTTTTAACGTGCAAATTGTGGTTCCTTCGTGCCATATAAATTTTGTTTCTTAGTACACTGTGTGCAAGCACATGGAGCATGTGGTTCTCAACTAACCCACTCTTTTGTGGATTGATTTGCTCCCTTTAGGTTAACAGAAGTGGTTCAAGTATCTAGGACATCTTTAATTGGATTAAATAATAAATTTGTACTAAAATATTAAGAAAATTCTTCTATTAAATTTCATGAAGTGCACAAGATTATAAAGTAGTACACATGGTATAGGTATGGTAGTTTCAAGTGCTTCTATCCATCTATTGTTTACGCTTATTCCTAGGCGATATAATATCTGTCGTTGGTGTGCAATGATTTGATGCATGAATTGATAATCTCATAAATTTGCCACTGTGCTTCTTCATTAGATTTATCATATTGTGACATTGAATAATACGTGAGATGCACTACTAAATGTTAGTGTAGTGGCATTAAAATAGGCTGGGGTTGTAGCACATATTTTTAAAATTTTGGATGAATTAGATTCTGTCAACCCTAGTAAAATTCATTCATAATGGAATTGACACATTGTGACTTAATGGTTTGCAATTGCATTGATATAGGGCCCATTTGGGGAAGCTTAAAATAGCGGGTGACATTTTGAAAACGCTGCCGTACTGTTTGTTTTTAGCGTTTATATGAAGTTTTTAAAATCGCGGTTTTGAATTAACGAATAACGTCGCTCGCGGGATGATCCCTGCGGGCGACGTTCTTTCATCGCGTATCAGTCCCGAATTACTCCGCTGCCCTCGTCATAATGAATCGCGTTCGAGCTCTGCCCTAGGTAAAGGCCCTAAAATCTTCCCCTGCGTTAATCAGAGCTTCTATTCCTGTTTACTGGATCCTACTTAGGCCTAGAGGGAGATCTCTTTCTTCGACAAAATCTAGGCCTCCCAAGCCATGGCGGGACAAGAGGTTATGATGCTTGAGACGCCGTCAGACCTTTCGCTCGAGAGCTGGTCTATGAAAAGTTAGAAGGAGTTCATCGATGTGTTGCATTGACGACAACTATTGGCGTTCCCAGGGTGAAGGCAGAAATATACATGCTTGTCGAAGCTGAAATGCGCAAGAGCGTCAAGAAGCTCGCTGATTTCCTCAAGGATCTCCATCCCCTTCTCAACTTCGGCTTCAAGGTGGGACAATCACCAATTTCTTTTTCGTTTAGCAGATTAATGGCTTGTAAAAGTTATAATTGTTAGGTTTTTGATGTAGAAAGTTTTATGTGGATGCTAATTTTTTATTTGACCTTAACTCTATTGCGAGTGTTTGGTACATTACGAGCTGGTTTCGCTTAGTTCTCGGGTCAAAAGAAATTCAAGCTGTGTTTGGTTTGAAGGAATAATGTGGAAAGAAAATATTATTTATCTATGTTGCAATTACATTTTTTAACTCTAGGTTTGGTTGTAGTTTACAGGCAGAATTGCGTCTACTGCTTGAAAAAATAACTAGCTGTCTGGGACTTATCTGAATAAACTAGATTAGCTGCAGTTGCCCCAAACAGACCTATAATCACTTTGAAGTCTCTAATGATACTGGTATGGTTCATGGACTTCAATCTGCATATGTAGGTGGACCAAGTTCTACTTTTGCATGGATTGGATCTACATGTGTTAATGGATTGTGATCCTCAATGGAGTATGTACTTGAATTAGCATTGTCCTTAAATGTATTTCCCCCTAAATGCATTATTTACTAAACGCTACTACAAAAGGTGTCCACCTTGGCTATTGCCACCTATAAGGTACTTACATCATTGCATATGCTCTATGTATTGGTGATACTAGAGTTATTCCAAACAAAAAATAAGCAAACAAATATTATGACTGTAAAAGCCAATAGACGGTTACAACCAACACCATAAAATCAAAAACAAAAAACAAAAAACACGACACATGACGCACAATTAGGGAGAATCTAGGAGGTGTTGGTGACTGCTAGGGACTTAGAAAGGTGGCAGCAAGGTGGTAGGTGGGCTGTACAACGGAGCAATAGTAGAGGTACTCTGAAGCTGTCTGAACAACCGCAAAGGAGGATTTTGGCAGCTGTTGCAGCAATAGGGCTGCAAGAAGAATGATTTGGGTGGTTGTCAGTAAGGTGGCAGCAACGGGGATGGTTTCAGGTGACTGGGATTGCAATAGGGGTTTTAGAGGAATGATTCTAGGTGGATGGCAACAAGGAGTGGGTAATGGAGATGGTTCTAAGTGGCTGGAATTGTAACACGGATGATTTTGGTGGCTGGAGCAACAACAAAGATGAAAATGACTTCTTGGTGATTAACAACAATGAGGGGTTAGTTGGAAGAACAAGAGCTAAAAGAAAACATCAGGTATCCAACTATCGGGGATGTTGCAGAGGAATGCGTGGCAACAAAGTGGGAGGAATGCGAAGGAGTTGGGGAAGGATAAACACTACCTCGAGAGTGAGATATAGTCAGAGCATTACTCGACTATTGGAGGAAAATCAACACCTCAGAATGAGATATAGTCGGAGCACTACTCACCCTCGGATATAGTCTCAGAAGGGAAAATAAGGGACGCTTATTGTCCTGATAAAAACACAAGGATAAATTAAAAATTTAAAATAAAAGTATCGCATATATAAGCCCTAGATAATTAGGATTGAGTCCCTCTGTGGAGAGGCCCCAATCCGTTGTGGAAGCGCGACCGACTCCCAAGGCTAAATCAGCTCCGCTAGTCATTCTAGAACGCGGAAGATCTCCTGCGCTCGTGTAATTCTACGTCCAGAAACTCATTCCTGCGTCATTCCCCGGCTCACATATTCATAAGCTCTTAAACCCAGGTTCTCACTTCACTCCCGGGATTAGGGGGAGTCTCGATCTCATCTGTTGAAGCTTTTTAAATTCTGATGATATGGTATTAGGTATGCCACGTTGCAGGTAGTGGAACTACTGTAACCTCTCGGTAATAACTCTTGTAGGTGTTGTTATTCTAAAACACATCTTGATAGAATAAACATCCCTCATTTTTTGGCACAACCTGAGCTAGAGTTGCATATAGGGTAGATTTCCACTATATAATTTTTGAGCTAATAAATCTATAATTTGCCTCTTCCACTTGTATTTGGCAGAGCGCATCCGATAAACAATTTTTTTTGAAAAAACTAACTTTGGACTAAAATCTTTGGGAGGCTAGATCGCACCGAAGTGTAACCACTCATGAGAGACCTCTTTTCTGAAAAGACCTAGGTCCCACTATAGGATATTTTTTGCCCCCAAAGATCCTAAGACAATTTCTAATGTTGTGGCTCATCCATCCTTTCTGATCTACTGTCAGCAGGTACACAACTGAAATGATTTTAATACCTAAATGACTCTATATAGTCTTTCAAAAGTGGTGCAAAAGCTTCTTATCTTTGACATGTTGTACCTCCCTTAATACGGGCAACTCAGGAAGTAGATTATATATTTAAAAAGTTTGAAATTCTTTTATTTGAGTTGTAATGTGTTTGATGTCAGTTTCTTGGACTTAGGGCCATCTTGGATCACCAATGCTAATTATGTTGGGATCTTTCTTATAGGTTTAGCTGTGACTCATCCATCCTTTCTGATCTGCTGTCAGCAGATACACAATTGA